ATAAATACATATATATATATATGTATATTTATATAAATACCTTATGCTCATATTGGATATTGGATCATCATCATTGTGCTTTACAATTCCTTTAAGTGAAGTGTGTAGATGGATAGATCCGAGTGCTTTGAACGATTACCGCACCTAAATGTACAATGTTTAATTAATCCCCTTGAGTAGTGCAGAAGCCCCTACTTAGGAAGTAGTTTGGTAGCGACTATCAATGGCCAGTTGAGTTTGAAAAGCAAACAAGCAATTTGGCTCGAGATACAATGCAAACTGAGCGGAAAAGTCAAACTCAACTTTGGTGAACAGCAATTTTCGATTAAAATTCCAGTTGGCGATTCAATTAAACACTAATTAAAAGACATTTTTCCACCGCTCGCAGCTGGCAGAGTTAACAGCCTTTTGATATGCCCCCTTTTACCAGTCGCAGAGCTCTGTTGCTAGGTCGCAGCTCGCAGCTCGCAGCTCGCAGTTCGCACTTCGCAGAGCTGAGCCCTCGTTGCCTATTGGACAGCTGAGCTGTCAGCTTGGCAAAGGACCCGGTGCTCTGAAAGGACTGCCAACAGGATAAGGCGAGTCGACAAATGTGAGGCCCCAGTGATAGATGTGGGTGTGGGAGGCGAGGCTGCAATGAATGTCATAATGGAAGCAAAGAGAAAAAGAAGAGCCAAAATCAAAAGCAAAGTTTTTGCTGCATTTGACTTGCCTTTGCAGCGCATGCCTTGATTTTATTTTTATTTTTTCCCCACTGGCACTGCGAACGGGTTAATTTCTAGCACCCAGTGCGCTTTTCCATTTACCTTATCACGTTCAAAGTGAATGGTATAAGCGGCATCTCTTAAATGAAAGTCGTAGATTGATATAAAAATTGCAAATTCAGTATAGCGAAACGCCCCAAATAGAGAGCTTAGCTGTGCTGGATGTTAAGCTTGCTCAATTAGACGATAGGGCTTAAGATATATGTATATTAGAGATAAGCATGACACTTACTAAATGTATGCATATGAAAAGACCTGCTTCAAGCTCTCAAATATGGGAGTCCTCGTAGCAGCTACGCATTTCGCAAGTTATTGCTCGAACATTTCTCAAGCTGCCGGTAAAGCTATAAAGGCAATAAATATGTCAGATAAACTGGTTTTTTTTCACTTTATGCAGTTTTCCCATA